AGGTATCCATCCGGAACATGCATATTGCATACTTTTCTATAAGTCAAACTAAATATCTGCTTTAACACACCTCTTTATATTCTTCTGAAAACCAATAAAAGCAGATTGTACATATGCCCATGTTTTGAAAGTAATTTTGTAAACCTTTTTGCGAAAATCATTTTGTATAATCATTATCAATGGCTGTTTTTATTGTATTAAAGGGGCTATATTTCCCACCTCAACTTAACCAACTTCTCATCATGAGTAAAAATAACTATATATCTTATATATAATATACATACAGGGTGTCCCAATAAACTTGAGAATTTCGTGGCAAGGTGACATGTGGGTGACAAGGGTTCTACAATCTACAAGTTGGTGACATGGGTTCTACAATTTACAAGTGAGTGACATGGCTTCTACAATCTACAAGTGAGTGACATGTCTTCTACAATTTACAAGTGGGTGACATGGCTTCTACAATCTACAAGTTGGTGACATGGGTTCTACAATTTACAAGTGAGTGACATGGCTTCTACAATCTACAAGTGAGTGACATGTCTTCTACAATTTACAAGTGGGTGACATGGCTTCTACAATCTACAAGTTGGTGACATGGGTTCAACAATTTACAAGTGAGTGACATGGTTTGTACAATCTACAAGTGGGTGACATGTCTTCTACAATTTACAAGTGGGTGACATGGCTTCTACAATCTACAAGTTGGTGACATGGGTTCTACAATCTACAAGTGAGTGACATGGTTTGTACAATCTACAAGTTGGTGACATGGCTTCTACAATCTACAAGTGAGTGACATGGTTTGTACAATCTACAAGTTGGTGACATGGGTTATACAATCTACAAGTGGGTGACATGTCTTCTACAATCTACAAGTGGGTGACNAAAAGACGATATCAAATTAGTCACTGAATTCCCATGTTTATTGGGACACCCTGTACAATCCAACGTAAAGCGGGCACTCAGTATAATTATTGTTTTAATCAAGTGTATCGGTTGCATAAAATCTGGTTTATCCACTATATAGGATGAGACTGTAAAGACGACTTCAAACTTCTCAAATAGGACGATCCAAATTTTAGATTAAGTATTCTGCATTGAATGTAGTATTTGAATGACTTGTTTAATGATAAAGAAAAGAAAGTAAGATGTTTAAAGCTGCAGAAGACCATGAATATAAAGAATATGAACAGTATTAACATTCAAAATGTCGTCTTTAAAGTATCACCTTTAATGGGCAACTCTGTATTTGTTAAAATATTTCAAATTATAAAGGAATGAGGCGTTATCACAAACTCAAATGTTCTAATCCGTATATCTTGGCAATCTGAAGTTTTAAATAGCTAAAGTCTAAAACGTTCAGTTGAAAAGATATAAGGATTAGATATTCCGAGTTTGTAGCAAAGACCTAATTCCTTTATGATGATGGCTAGATTCCTTATGCATTAACAACACAATGAAGTGTTGTTTACTATTTAACAACTTTGCACTATCAGAATGTAAACTTGATACATGAACTCAAGACGTAATTAACAACACAATGAAGTGTTGTTCACTATTTAACAACTGTGCACTATCAGAATGTAAACTTGATACATGAACTCAAGACGTAATTAACAACACAATAACGTGTTGTTCACTATTTAAGAACTTTGCACTATCAGAATGTAAACTTGATACATGAACTCAGGACGTAATTAACAACACAATGAAGTGTTATTCACTATTTAACAACTTTGCACTATCAGAATGTAAACTTGATACATGAACTCAAGACATAATTAACAACACAATGAAGTGTTGTTCCGTATTTAACAACTTTGCACTATCAGAATCAAGATGTAATTTTAATGGAATGTCCAATAACAGTACCTTGTAAACACATTTGTACCAAGAAAAATTAGATAGAATTCTAAAACCTGCATTTTATTATTTCAACAAATTTACAAACCATTATAAAGTTAATATTGAGACTTAAGGTTGAAATCAAAGATCAGTTAGAAATAGCAGAACCTGGTATAGCTAGTTCTAATATACTCTAAGCTAAAGAAAGGTTAAAAACATCAAGTAAAGTTGAAATACTTCTTGTTATTAATTAAATCTGACCTTTAAATAAATGAATTGTGCTCTGAAAAACTATACTCTATATTCTACTCGATTAAAGCAAAAGCAAAAAGTTTATAAATAAAAATATTATTCATTTAATAAAAATACATAGATAAATATACATTATACATAGAACGTAATAAAAGAACCGAAGTCTTCTATTTACAGGAAGTTTGGCTGTTACAGTTACAGCTGATTTCTTGATTTGTTTGAAAACTGGTTTAGGTAGTTGCGGTAGAGGTTTAGTTAGTTGTGGTAGAGGTTTAGGTAGTTGTAGTAGAATTTAGGTAGTTGTGGTAGAGGTTTAGGTCGTTGTGGTAGAGGTTTAGGTAGTTGTGGTAGAGGTTCAGGTGGTTGTGGTAGAGGATTAGGTAGTTGTGGTAGAGGTTTAAGTAGTTGTGGTAGAGGTTTAGGTAGTTGTGGTAGAGGTTCAGGTGGTTGTGGTAGAGGATTAGGTAAAAAAGCACGTCATTTTACACTTTTTCTGAGAATAAATGATTCCATAAACGATTTCAACTTCATTTTTTTTAAAGTAAGCAAAAAATGAGTTTTGTTACATTATTTCTAAAAATACACAACAAAAAAGAATAAAACATTATTTTTAATATTTTGATTTTGTTCATAGTATTTTAGGTATTTATTACGTTATATCAATCTAAACTACAAGACAATTTTTAAACAGTATTTATAATAATAAATTTTTAAAAATAATAAAAAATTATGAAACATGTTTCAAAATATGTAAATCACGCTTATAAAAGTATGTTTATACCATAATGAAAGAATCAAATTTTATCCAGAAGTTTATAAAATTTAAAAATCATGTTAATTGACGTATCGGTCTATATATGCCTAGATCTAGTGACTTGTGTCCTATACTCCTGTAGTGAAAGTTAAAATCAGCTGAAGTATGTTAATTAGGAATAGAACTAGAGAATAAAAACAAGGTAACATATAACACTTTTTCAGGAATTAGATTGACTGTAAGCATAATTGTGATTCTCCATGCAAATATAGCAATGCCCGATTTACAACTGTACTCCTGAGACATTAATTTAATCCAAAAAATTCTAACTCGAAAAGGGTTTATCTCTGTGAATTTCTCCATTGTTTCTTATAAGTAAGAAATGCGCAAGTTAATTTTTCAGAGAAACCACAAATGAACATAAACGGTTTAAATAAACAAAAATATCTAATTTATATCTTGATCAGACAAAGGGTACCGTTGAAAATAGGGATATTGGCAACCTTGCATGGAGGGTCACTTGAAATTAAGTTTTTGATGTACTGTACTGAAGTGTATCGTAATGCCCTGTACTTTATCGTACTGTACTGTAGTGTATCGTAATGTCCTGTACTTTATCGTACTGTACTGTAGTGTATCGTAATGTCCTGTACTTAAACGTACTGTACTATAGTGTATCGTAATGTTCTGTACTTTTCTTACTGTACTGTAGTGTATCGTAATATCCTGTACTTTATCGTACTGTACTATAGTGTATCGTAATGTACTGTACTTTATCGTACTGTACTGTTCTGCTATGTCTTAAGCACTTTCTTCAAAAATGAACATTTTATTCTTTTAAAATTAAATGAAATGAAAATTTTAATAGAACTGTTGACATAATTTCAAGTGCACAACTTTTATCAAGAGGCAGGTCCGCTGTACCCTTTAAACCTTTGTCTGATCAAGGATGACTGAGAAATCCTGTTTCTTTTCCGTAAAAAATGAATTCTTACACGAAAACGCTTATAATTGGTAATTGGGATCGAAGCTGAGACTCTATTAATCTCCTAAAATTACGTGTACAGATACTTTATAATAAGATATTATGGTTTGCTTAGATATACCTATAGAAAGTTGAATGTAGAAATATAGACATTGCAAAACCAATTTAACTTCATAAACTACTGTTTCAGATAAGAGATGGGATTTTATCTAGTTGAACTGAAAATAAAAATCTATTGGCAACTAAGAAAGTATAGTATACAAGGCCTTTAGGGCGCTTAGCGCCCATCTTCTATTTAAATTGTTCTTTTTGTACGTTTACATTAAAAAAATTTCAAGAATTTAATTTTTTTTACAAAATTGAAAACCTTTAAAACACATTTTCTTAAATTTTTATCTTTCATAAACCTTCCCTGAGGTCACGTGATGTCCCACAAAAAATTTGGGCCCGATCGGTTCAGCCGTTTTGACGTTTATTGCATACAAACAAACAGACAGACAGACAGACAAACCAAATTTATATATAGATGCTATTACTATTTATGTTGAAAAATATGGCTTTAAGTTAATTTCAAATTTTTTTCAAGATTCATTTTCAACCTGTCAAAAATAATCATAGAATAAACGATAGATTGCTTTGAGCTGACAACTTTATAATTGTGGATATTGATATAAATGCTTGATCTCCTCTTTTTATTAATCTCAAGATTAATTTCATCCATAGTTTGTATCCAAAAAAGTGTATATAATTAACCATTAGAGTGGTGTATGCAGAATCCCGAACAGCCAATGAGAATCCGGGAAATTTGAACTTTTGCGCGTCATTTAATGAGGGAGCTCTCATGCATTGGTTGAAATCTGGTAGAGATATTTAATAAGAACGAAAAAAGATAAAATTAAGCAGGAAAGTAAAAGTGTTCACATTGCATATTCAGATTAAAGGGACAGTAAAGGAAAAATGAAAGGGGGTATAGGCTGAAAGCTAATCACTTTAGCTCTTGATCGCGACCCATGAAAGTCATCTCTGATGTTCCTGTCTCGAGAAATTGATATAAAACTGTGTCATATATAAACGAAAGTTAATATATACAATTTTGTATAAAAGTAGTCGGTTTAAACAGATCATATTCAGCAAATAAGCAACCAATCTGAAAACGATGATATCCCAGAGAAAGCTAATTGTAAATTAGGTTTACTTTTATATTTGTTATTTCTATTTTCAATAGATTTCATTCATAATATTATTTTTACGTCCGTATTACTTGACCAGAAATTCCACCAATAACAGTGCAGTAAAGTGGTCACGTGATACAGGCGGAGACACGTGACCAGTATACTGCTCTGCCATTGGTGATAGTTCTGGTCACGTGATTTAAGTTTCAGATTTTCAAAATTTTACATATATGAATTTTCGTATAATTTTAACACAGTTTTATATCAATTTCTCGAGACAGGAACATCAGATAAAACTTTCGTGGGTCGCGATCAAGAGCTAAAGTGATTAGCTTTCAGCCTATACCCCCTTTCATTTTTCCTTTACTGTCCCTTTAAGCAATCAGGATTAAGGGTATCCAATTCTAAAGTTCCCAGATCTGATTAACTTTTTTTATTTAGAAAAAATCAACTCTAGAAGCTAAACATAAATTAAACTAGTTTGATTTAAGATTATCTTTTTAAAATCCCTGCATACAATGTTAAAACTGTTGGTGCTTCCTGATGTCAGGCTATGGTATGGTGCCTGGTACCCAGTCCCCAGCTGTTCTGATGCAGATACCTTTACTTCTGCTGCTGATTGTGGGACCAGGAACTTCAAATCCAGTTCCTCATTATATTATGCAGAAGGAAGGAGGGTTTAAACTCCTGCTTGTTGACGATCCTGAGGAAAGTGCTGATGTATTTAATATCACTAGTGCTGAAAATATCAGTGACGCATTAGAGAAGAATTCTGGTGGAAATCGTCTTGATTTTGGACATGAATTCAAAGCCTCAGGAAGTGCAGATGTGAATAAAACAGGAAATGAAGTAGAATCAGAGGCCTCGAAAGTACAGCAGAATGCGACGAAAACAATCACTGAAAATGTGTTATCAAAGAATGAAGTTAAGAATGAAAAAGAAAATGTAGACCTTGAAGATTCTGAAGATGTTGAAGATGTTGAAGAAGCTGAGGAAGAAGATTATGGAGGCAATGAAGAGAAAGAAGATAGTAAAGGGAAAAAAGATGATGAAAAGAAAGAAGATTATGAAGATAAAGAAGATGATGAAGAGAAAGAAGATGATGAAGAGAAAGATGATAATGAAAAGAAAGAAGATGATGAAAAGAAAGAAGAAGATGATGAAGACGTCATAGAGGAAGAAAAAGTTAAAGATGAAGAAAATGCTGAAGAAGGTGAATTCGAAAATGTAGAACAAAGTCTGGTAAGATATGGTTTTCTCAATTTATGTTTACATGTTTATTTGAGAACTATAAATGTTTACTTAAAGGGACCGTTCACTTTTTGATTAATAGAACTATAAATGTTTACTTGAGTCAAAAAGTGATAGAACTATAAATGTTTACTTGAGTCAAAAAGTAAAAGAACTATAATGTTTACTTAAACCAAGAAGTAATAGAACTAAATATCGTTACTTGAGTCAAAAAGTAATAGAACTATATATGTTTACAGAAACCAAGAAATAATAGATCTTTAAATGTTTATTTTAGTCAAAAAGTAAAAGAAATATAAATGTTTACGAATCTCTATTGGACAGCTCTGAAACTAGTTTTATTGTAAACATAAAGAATTCCTTTGTTATTGTTTACAAAGCTTTCCTGATACGTCACAGTAAAAAGTAAACCACCCCTATCATCCACTCTTTAGTTTTATTAATGATGGTTAAAGCTATGACTATCCATATAAACTTCTACTAATGTGATAGTTTGCGTGTTTTAAGTTTAAATTTTAATACATAGTTATCCAAAGAGTATAATACTTCCAGAGATAACCATGATTTTAAAATACCTGAGGTATTGTTTGGATATTGTTCATCTAGAATGCTTGATCTCGACATCAACGCAGGCATTTTTGAAATCGAAGATCAATGCCTAATCCTATATATATCCATACCACCACCACCACGGGATATCAAAGGGGAATTAAATCAATCCGTAGGTTTTATCTGCCTAAGATGGAGATCAATGCTTGATCCTGAGATACACAACACAACATTTCTGACTTCTGGTCAGAGTTGAGAACTTTTGAATTCAGTAACTCAGATTTTAATGTTTATATTGCAGGTTGGAGAGAGTGTTGTGGGGCTAGCAGGACATGACTACACAGACGAAACCCGGAAACGCTCAACTAAACATAAAAAATCTAATCAATCTAAACATAAGCCAAAACACAAAACAAAACCGACTCCCAAGCCAGATTTAACCATGGCATTTGAACCATGTGAAGAATTTTGTGGCGCCTTGTAAAGTTGTAATCTAAATATAGTGATAGAATACATTTCGACAAATATTACTTTTCTCAAATATTTATGAACAGTTTACGGCATTATGCCATAACAATGATCAATATGGGAGGTAGGTGAACCACGGGCAGCTGTAGTACATTTGAATTTCCGAGCCTGGTCAACCTTTCCGGTCTCAGTTTGTACTGTATCGCTCGGACATTGGATAAATCAAGCAGACACTCAATAGGACTAGCCAGTGCAACAAGGTTGACATGGTCTGACTTCAGGTTGAATTTACTTTTACTGAAGGGTCAGAGGTGCGTGGAACAATACTCAGATTATACAAAAAGATTATTTTTCATGATACACCCTTTCTAGTATCACATTCTTCTATAGAATACCAGTCATATTGTTTATCCAGCAGGACATATAGTAGAATTAAATATAAACAAAGTTTAAAAAGTTCCCTTGGAAGTTGAAAAGGGTAAAAAATCATTATTCTGTCCGATTTGAACATATTCAGTTTTTTAACTTAAGGATAAGATATAAAAAATATTTTTAAGTGGAGCAAAAAGAAACTGAACGACTTTACATAAAGTTGAGGATGATAGACAGGGAAATACAAAATATATAGTGTATCAGCACTAAACAATGATTTTTTTCGTTTTCTCAATTCTTTCCTATTCTTCTCCTAGTCTACTTATATTCTTCTCTTATTCTTCTCTTATTATTCTCCTATTCTTCTCCTATTCTTCTTCTCTTATTCTTTTCCTATTCTTCTTCTCTTATTCTTTTCCTATTCTTCTCCTAGTCTTCTCTTATTCTCCTCCTATTCTTCTCCATGTCTTCTCCTATTCTTCTCCTATTCTTCTCTTATTCGTCTCTTATTCTTATCTATTTCTTCTCCTATTCTTCTCCTATTCTTCTCCTATTCTTCTCTTATTCTTCTCCTATTCTTCTCCTATTCTTCTCCTATTCTTCTCCTATTCTTCTCTTATTCTTCTTCTCCTATTCTTCTCCAACTCTTTTTCTATTAATTTATTAATTCTTTTTCTATTCTTATCCTATTACTATAAAGCACTGTTACAAACCCCTAACATTTTCTTCGAAATTTTAAACTACCGAAAAAATTACTTTCTTCTTCCTAATTTGGAAATGCATTCAGTGAGTTCCATATTTCGAACAATTATTATGATTTCATCTAACAATTGTGTCCTAAACAAAGGTATGTTTACAGTTTAAATATTTTATTAATAAATACATAAGATCCATGACCCTTAGAACACCTATATCGTATCGAACAGTTCATTAAAAGCTATTATTATGAATAATTAAGACGTAAACTTACAATTCTAGAGAAAGATCAAAATTTATAATTTCCATATTCCATTGCGTTGGCAGGGCTAGGGGTAAAGGATAAGGAATCAAAAGTGGAGGGGGGGGGGGGGGGGGTTTTTAAAATTTGAAGAAGGAATTGAGTCTTTGTCACAAACTTATGTTTTCTAATCCCTATACCTTTGCAACCTGGTAGTATACACCGTTGATATTTCAACCTAGATTATTTAATCTAACAAATGAATGGTTTGAAATATCTAAGGCCTCTGTCATTGGGTCGCACAAATATAGAGACTAGAAAATCTGAGTTTGTGGCAAAGAATCAATTCCTTTAACTGAAGAGGTAAACAATCCAGGAAGAAGATGGATTATAGTTGAGTTAGAAAACATTAGAATCAATAAAATAAGAAAACCAAAGGATTAAATCATTAATAAAAGGTTTAAGGAATGGGAGTATAGGATAAGGGATAACCCTGCATTTATGAATATGGTAGTACAACTAGAAGAAAGAGAAGAGCAATGGGAATATTTGCTCTTGGAGCAAAATTACAGTTGTCAGTAGAGCAGCAGGACATATCAGCTGAATTCTTGTCTCCAGTTCCTGAAAACAAAAATATATCTAGATAAATGGTAAAATTAAGGTTTTTAAAATAAAAGTAAGCCATGGGCGTTACTGAAGAGTTTAAAGGGGGTGGGGGGGATTCGATTGAAATGAATGTAAATTAAATTTTTACCGGGGGGGGGGGATAATCTCTACCCCTTCTCTTCCACAAAGCAATTAAGTAGCACCGAGCTCAGCAAAAATTATATTTTTTCTTCATTTATAACAAAATAATTGAATTCGGAAGACGACATCATTTCTAATCCTCCAAACTGAGACAAACACACAAATTTCTGATAGTTTTTTCTTGGTGAAGGGTTTATGCAAGTTTTATTCGTCAAACTTTTTGCTCCGTGGTCTTTCCTTCCTTAAAGTGTTATTTAAAAAATACTCTAATTTTATAGTCTTCAATTATCTTGCAAATGCAAAATGATAAAAAATTCCCATTTTTACAATCTTCTTTTTTAATTAAAAGCATAAAAGACATCATTTTCTATCGCGCCAATTTAATTTGAAGAAACTATCTATGTTAATCATGATAGTGATGAAGAAACTTTCGAAAAAGTTCACATGGCAATTTTCAGATTTAAAGATTTGGAATATTTTTTGTAAGTTTAAACGTTTCCAAAATTCTCTTCAAACGCCAAAAGGGCATGCAAAAATAACTAGTTATCAGGGGCGTACGTTGGGGGACAAGCCCCCAGCCCCCCCCCCCTACGCGAGCACACATAAATACTTTAATAACACTTGTAATATGGAAGTGTGTACATCATCGAATAATTTACATAGTTAAAAAATGTATCAATACTTTTTCAAATACTCTCGTACACCCCTGCTAGATATCTGTATGTCCGGAAAATTAACTTTGTCATATTTTGATATCTCATCCAAAATCCAGTAACGATGCTCAATTTGATGTTCAATACGTAAAACCCACAAAGTCAAAAACTTTATGTTTAATCGATAAAAAAGGTTTCGAATGTTAACGTCCTTAATCTTTTAAACCCGAAGCTTTGAATTCTTGTGATCTCAAAGTATCAAGATTGCTGACATTTTTCTAGTTTAAAGGGAGTGTTCGCCTAATTACAGAATCAAAAGTAAATTTTTAAAGTGTTTTTTGTAGGTTTTAACAAGGTTCATAGGAAATTTTCTTCTCAAAATTTAAGGATAGAAATAAAAGTAAAACATAATCGAAACATATTTGTATGCATATTTATATTTATATTTATATATATTCACTTTAGGAGAGGCGGAGAGTTGATTGATATAATCTGATCAATCTAATATAGGAAATAGATAGATTGATAGATAGATAGATAGATAGATAGATGGATTGATAGATAGATAAAATATATGATTATTAACAATACTCAAATCTGAAGATTTATTGATAAATAGATAGATAGATAGAAAGATGTATATCGAATAAGGATAAACATAATGTATTAATATTATATAATAAAGATACCCTCGGTCCGCCCACAAAATAAAGAATTAGAAAACGTATAATGAAGAAAAAACTATTAATCTAAAGGGAATGTTCGCGAAATGGGGGAACCCGTAGAACTGAAAAGTTAACTTTGATCAACAAGTGCGGATCTTTACTTTCGAACGAATTTTCCACATTTTTTGCTTTTTAATAAGTTTAGAATATTTCGATGTGAAATGTATCTTACGCTTATTATGTTTCTTGATGGATTTTGATTAACATAACTTTCACAATCAAGATATAGGAAACTTATTGTACGATATTGCGACCTCATAACTTCTCCTGTGAGTAAAAAAAACTTTGTGGTTAGAAATAAAGTTTAAATTTTTTAAAGAATTCACTTTAATAGTTTCACAAACGTTCTTTTACTGTTATATATTAGAGTTGATTATGACGTTTTTAATATAAAACTTGGGTTCCATTGCTGACCAAAGTATTCGTTAATTTACCTAAAATCAGTTTGTTAACGGAAGATTACCTAACCCTACCTTTATCTACTTTACATTAGTAAACCCTAATGTATTTACTGTCAAGACTAGATCCCTTACCACTCCCCTAATACAGAGATGTACATATATATATATGTTTATGCATTTATAATATATATATATATATATTAATATGATTACACAGCACAGACAGTCCAGTTTATACATAAATCGTATTGACCATTCTGGTAAATACGACAAAATAATGTAATTTTCAACCTTGCTCTTAGGCTTTCACTTGAAACATTCCAGGTTACTACTATTACTACTTTATACATAACAAATATAACATTTAAAACATATGTGTCTTGGTAATTAAAAGTGAAGATTTTTATTTAATTTAAAAATGCCTGATTAATGAATGAATTAATGGGTTGATCAGATAAAAGATATTTAGATTCTGAGAAAATTATGTTCAACCCAAATTTACAATTCCATGAAAACGATTATTGTGATTCTCCCTTTAAAGTTTTTATCCCATGCTTGTGGCAAAGCAATTACTTTTTCAGAAAATTACTTTGTTTGTTGCTCATTGTATATTGTTAGATCTCTTATCCTTGTAGAATTCTCATTAAAACATTTCTTTTCCCCATTTATACCACAAAAAGAAACCAAACAATCCTCTTTTAATTAAATAAAAATGAATTAAAAAAACCAAAAATTTTCTGAAGAGATAATTGAAAAGAAAAATAATGTTCTGATTTTCTTTTATCTTACAAAACAAATGAATTGAGTATTTGTCACAATGTCGAATTTTATAATCCCTATATCTTTCCAACCTTTGATATTTCAAACTTGGACTATTTGATTTAACAGAATTCATAGTTTATAATATCTAAGGTCTGCGACTTTGTGTTGTGAAGATATAGCGATTAGAAAATCGGAGTTTGTGGCAAAGACTCATGTATTTTTTTCCTCAATATACTTAAAATCAAAACTAGAAAGGCCATGAGGTCACAAAGCCGTAACAGTAATGTCGCAAAAACTTAACCTTATACTTCCACCCCGGACTAACCAGGGTAAGAAGCATTCGGTTTCATTTATTTGAAATCAAACGTGTTTTGGTCTAGAATTCAATAAACTTTAAACTTCAGATTTGTTTATGTTATACTTTTTCATTTAAAATATATATGCAGACAAAAAAGTATTTAAGAAAAATGGATAAAATATTATGTATAATGGGTCATATTGTGATCAAAAGTCACAGCTTTCTGAAATATTGACAGAACCGTTAAATCCACGTTCTTCTTTTATAGAGGAGTGTGCAAAGTATGACAGACATACATATATTTATACATATTGCATGGTTCCTTTTTTCAATCTAATCATCTGATGGCAACAATTCTGTTTCCAAAATATCGGAGAAACCATTATTGATGTTTTAGGGAAAATGAATGCCAAACCTTGAGAAAGTACTGAGTACATAAAAAATACTTTATGGCCGGAGAAAAAATAGTTTTTCCCCTGGGCCGAGTGATAACTCAGATTCTCAGTGTTTGTTTATTTTTAATTTTATAATTTCTTTTTTGATAAATAATTTTTTACCTTTATCGCAAGTTTCCTCGGTGGCGCAAAGTCGGTTCACATTGCCAGTTGGTAAATCAATTTTCTAATAAAAAATAAAAACAATTCTAATTAGAAACGATCTTTAAAAGTCTGTCAACTTATTTTTATGCAAACTTTCAGTTCATGGAGTGTGTCAGAGAGATAATTGACCAGAGTATAGTCTTTTAGCAATTAACTCAAACATATGACATCAATTTTTTTTCACGTAAAGCATTTATTTTGTATAACTTTGCGACTAAATCATAAGAGAATAGAAATTTACAAAAAAAAATTTTAAAAAGAATTAAAACTTACAATGCATTTAGTCTCGAGAGGAGAACAAGCCTTGGCCTGGCTTGCTGGTTCAAATACAAGACAGTTGTAGCAATAGTAACAGGTTAAACTGCTACTTTTACCAACCACGCCCAGCAGTAGCAATAGCAGAAGGATTCCTATTTATAAAGTGTTTAATGTAGCAAAAGTATCAGGTTAAAATGCTACTTTCACCAACCCTTGCAAAAGATAAATCATTATGTATTTGATATTCAAATTCTGAACTGGATATATCAAGAACATTTATATTTTTAGAAACTTAATATCTAAATATCTAAATATCTAAATATCTAAATATCTAAATGTATTTGATGATATATATTTGTTGACGTGTATGGTTTCTGAAACTGTGTGTAGCAGAATGAATTATGATGGATTGAAAGTTTATAAAAAGGTTGATAATATATTATATTGCAGAGGTAAATCTCAAACTAGAAAGTTCGCAAAAGAGCTGAGTTTTTGCCTCAAACTCAAGTCTTTTAATCCCTATATCTTTGCAACCCAATACCGTGGACCTTTGATATTTCAAACTATGCATTTTGTTAGATCAAATAATTTAAGTTTAAAAAGCAAAGATTTTTTACTATTAGGTTGCAAAGATATAGGGATTAGAAATTTTGAGTTAGTGGCAAAAACTAAGCTCTCCGACAAAATTAGAATCTAGTTCATTTGATCTGGATTCGGCTTCACTAATTTATTTTACTAAAGCAAAATTGCTTCTTTTTGCTTGATATTTAAAACCCGCAAAAAATATTTAGCATATTTTAAGGTGATTGTTTCGCAATCAAAAAAATTGAAAAGTGGCAAAAAAGGTGTGAAATATGTTAAAATTTAAGTTTTTTTCCTGAAAAATCCCTTTATCTAATTTAAAAGTTTTAGATCTGTAGATTAAATAACAAAGATGTATAGGCTATTTAAGATTTATTTTGTTAAACATCAAACGGCCACTATTTTGTATACCAGACCCACTGCATTTAAGACAAATTTTCTTATGTAAAAAAAAAATTATTTACTTTTTCTTCAAATCAAAAAATATCTAGATAATTGCTTTTGCCAAAATTGAGAGTGATAGAGCACAATACTGTTTAGGATCCACAGTTATTACTATCATTGTGCTTAAATAAAAAATTGCTCTGTGCGCTTTGAATTCAAAAAACATGGTAAAAGAATCTAAATAAAACTATTTTAGAAATAAACTTTTTTGTAATACAATTTGTAAACCTAGCTTTGCTAGAACTAAGAACACATAGATAATAAAATAGTTATAAAGTTTGTGTCCGGGCATAGTTATAGATATGGGCATTTCTCCGATGGGCATAGAAAGAAAAGAAAAAAGTAAAAAGTATAAAACAATCGTTATTATTATTATTATGAGCCGGAAATAAATACATACGTGACATGATGTTGTTGTTTGTAGGTAAGTGCAGTTAATCAACCCTTATCCCTTCTACAGTCGAGAACATTCTAAAAATAAAAATTCTTAGTTTCCATTAAAGTCAATTTTTTAAAATCATTTTTATAAACTGTTAGGAAAAAATTGTTTGGCAACTGTGTAAGCAATGATATTTTTTTTTAAAGCCATTATTCTGAATATAAATGATATAAAACATGTTATTGAGTGGCTCTCTATAAAAATCAACGCATTTTGAGACCCCAAACTAATGGTTAAGCATGAAAATTTAAAAGGGTTAAAAAAATTTTTTTTTTTAAATATCCGCATCGATGTTTATTCCTCCATATTTCAAGGGCTTTACAAATCTATAAGTTTTGAATCTGTTTTATTTCTTAAATTTATGAGATTATTTCCAGCATTTATTATTTTTAGACAGAAAATGTAAACATTGGTTTTCTTTTTATCTTTGAGGGTTTAAATACTACGAGTATTTTCTTTTCTAAAACATCTGGTAAATTGGCCAAACTTCCCAGCTATACATTTTCATTCACTACAACATATCCTACATTTTCATTCAGTACAACACATCCTACATTTGCATTCAGTAAAACACATCCTACATTTTCATTCACTACAACACATCCTACATTTTCATTCAGTACAACACATCCTACATTTTCATTCAGTACAACACATCCTACATTTGCATTCAGTAAAACACATCCTACATTTTCATTCAGTAAAACATATCCAACATTTTCATTCACTACAATACAACACATCCTACATTTTCATTCAGTAAAACACATCCTACATTTTCATTCAGTACAACACATCCTACATTTTCATTCAGTACAACACATCCTACATTTTCATTCACTACGCACATCCTACATTTTCATACAACACAACACATCCTACATTTTCAATCACTACAACACATTCTACATTTTCAATCACTACAACACATCCTACATTTTCATTCACAATAACACATCCTACATTTTCATTCAGTACAACACATCCTACATTTTCATTCAGTACAACACATCCTACATTTTCATTCAATACAACACATCCTACATTTTCATACAACACAACACATCCTACATTTTCATTCACTATAACACATCCTACATTTTCATAGAACACATATTAAATTTTAATAAAACTTATTTTACATCATCTTTCAATAATACAACACATCTTACATTTTCATTCATTAATTCAACACATCTTCTTACATTTTCATTCCGGAATTTAATGAAGCAACAAATTTCACATATTTTAAAGGATTTTTAATGAGAAAATTAATAAGACTTGCCATTGCGTCCAAAAAAAAATTCTAAACCAGCAGCATAGATTTTTTGGACGGTTTCGAGTCTCAACTTTCAAATAGATACATATTAAATAAATAGATTTAGCAGAATTGCATCTTTCTATAATATCTGCTAAAATTCTAAACGCTGGCCAAAGTATACACTGAATAATTATGGAAATATGAACCCATTATATTTCAAACCCGGGCAATAACAGTTAGTTTCATGATATATATCTTCCACCAATGTACTATTTGTTTTACAATAAATATTTTATTATTATTATTGTTGTTGGTTCCAGAATAATTTATTAGTTGAGAGCAGATAACAGAAGAAACTTGACAGACGAGGATTCTTTTAAACAATAAATCTTTAGATATAGAATCAAGACATCCAAGATATCACAAAGTCAAATATCAAAAACTTAGATAGCTCAGACATATATTCATAGAATGCAGAATACATAGCTGGCAACGTCCAGACATGCAAAATATCACAAACTTGAATATCAAAAACTTAAATAGCTCAGAAGTTCATAGGACACAGAATACAAAGATCAAGGAAGTTAAAAATAGAATAGAAATACATAGGATACAAAGCTCAGAAAATTCCCGATATCACAAATTTAAAAATCGAAAATATAAAAAGCTTAGAAAGGAACGGAGTCTTTTCCACAAACTTTAATTTTCTAATCCCTATATCTTTGGGACCCAACGTCGTAGACCTTGGATATTTCAAACTATGAATTCTGTGAGAGAAAATAATCTGATTGAAATACAAAACTTTTTCATCATCATGTTGCAAAGATATAATGATTAGAAAAGTTGAGTTCATAGGGCAGAAATTGAAAAAAGGATAATTCCAAGACCACAGAAGTTGAAATTATCCCAGAAAGGAATTGAGTTTTTGCCACAAACTCAAATTTTCTAATCCTTATATCTTGGCAACCTAATGGTGGAAACCCTTGATATTTCAAACTTAGGCTATTTGATCTAACAGAATTCATAGTTTGAAATATCTAACGTCTACGAAATTGGATTGCAAAGATATAGGTATTAGAAAATCAGAGTTTGTGACAAAGAGTCAATTCCTATGGAAATCATAAATTTGAAAATCAGAGAAATAAGATAGCTCAGAAATTGATGAATCAGGATAAACGGAACTACAACTTAAAGGAAATTAAAATGGAACTTGAGAATAAAAAACATGCAAAAAAGAACATACGAAACTGGCAGATTTCAGAAATTTAAAGGTCCGCAGAAATTGATAGAGACATACAGCACAAATAAGATGAAACATTGTTACATTGTAGCAAAAATAAATTACAATATCATAGGAAATTAAAACCTCAAAAATACAAAGAAAAAAAGAAAAAAATCACAAAATCAAAGATCATATTTCTTTAATTTCTTAATCAAGGCTGGCAGACGTGTATCAAATTTACAGAAAATATAATAAGGCAGAGCATTAAATAGAAAAAAAAGAAAAAAAAGAATCCTAGACCGGTAAAAGCAAGGATAAGAGTTGGCCGTTGCCAAATCTGTTGGATAAGCAGACGAACCTTTCCTGGTTTATTGGCACCTAGAGATACCAGGAATACAATTAATTTTAGATTAGACAAAACAGTTTTACATTTAGGAAAACAGCATTTTTATGGAAAACTTGTTTTTAAATCTATAGCTCAGACAGGGGGACTGTTAGTAACATCATGCATCTTAATCGGTTTCGATCGGGTTTAGAGAACTTTTGATGACACTTCTAAAATTTCAAAAATATATTCTGTTAAAGTTTGCTTCTATTCACCTTTGCAATATTTTTATCTTATGAGAATTGAAAACTTATATTTTTGGGAAAATGAACCAAAGTAACCATGTTTGTTAAGGTTCGTTTCTGGTTCGTTTCTGGTTCGTTTCTGGTTCGTTTATTGAATTTATTTTCTCTCCGGGTCAATATTTGGCATAGTGTAAGCAAATGCTTAGAATAAATAGTTTTGAAAGTTGCACATTTATTTAGATTGTGTGGAACCTTTAAAAAGTCCAAAACGTACCAAAAACGAATAGTTCTCTATTTAATTATTTAGTTTCTTATAGATGGGTTAGAATATGAAATAGAATCTAAAAAAAAGAGTTGGCCGTTGCCAAATCTGTTGGATAAGCAGCCGAACCTTTCCTGGTTTATTGGCACCTAGAGATACCAGGAATACAATTAATTTTAGATTAGACAAAACAGTTTTACATTTAGGAAAACAGTATTTTTATGGAAAACTTGTTTTTAAATCTAAAGCCCAGACAGGGGGACTGTTAGTCACATTATGCATCTTAATCGGTTTCGATCGTTTTTAAAGAACTTTTGAAAAACTTCTAAAATTTCAAAAATGTATTCTGTTAAAGTTTTCTTTTTTACAATATTTTTATCTTGTGAGAATTGAAAACTTATATTTTTGGGAAAATGAACCAAAGTAACCAGTTTGTTATGGTTCGTTTCTGGTTCGTTTCTGGTTCCTTCATTGAATTTATTTTCTCTCCGGTTCAATATTTGGTATAGTGTACACAAATGCTTAGAATAAATAGTTTTGAAAGTTGCAAATTTCTTTAGATTTTGTGGAACCTTTAAAAAGTTCAAAACGTACCAAAAACGAATTTATTCTATTTAATTATTTAGTTTCTTATAGTTGGGTTAGAATATGAAATAGAAACTAAAAATGAATGTGAATTCAATAGAATCCAAAAATGAATGTAAATTCAATTTCTAAGAAAGCATTTTCCTTGATCTTTAATATTTCTTCAATAGCAAAGATATATTTTACCCTGGATATCCTCCTATTATCTCTTTAAATTCGGAGGTCCTGGAACTTCCTGATAACATTAACATATCTTGATGGGCCCTGGATTTACCTGATAATATTTAAGTACGGAGTACCAGGGACCGTGTAGTTCTAAACCCTACCCGGAGAAGGACCAACCCTAACCTGAACCTTCTCAAGAACCCAGTTAAAGTTCTGAAAAAAGAAATTGAGTTTTTGACTCAAACTCTGATTTTCTAATCCCAATATCTATGCATCCCAATGTATAGACCTTAGACATTTCAAAATGTGAATTCTGTCAAATCAAATTTGAAATATTAAAGGTTTACACCATCAGGTTGCAAAGATATAGGGATTTGAATATTTGAGTTTGTGGAAAAGATTTAATTCCTTTGGTTTAAAAATATATATGTAAATATGATAAATATAAATACGTTACAGTATAAACATCAACAATGTGCATCCTTGCCATTTTTAACATTTATCAGTGTCCGAATTTAATGAATTTAAGCCTCGTCTCAAATCCCCCAAAAACCGGTTTCAATTGAGCGCCGGCGGAAATCTTGAAAAATTTAATACAATTTCAAGTGGAACCAACCATATTTGAGCCGTACCGCCGCTCAAATTCTTTAAATTCTGCCTCAATATACATATATTAAATGTAAAAAATGAGTAAAATTGAACAAAATATTTTATTGATTTTAATGTATCACAAAAACATTATAAAACATATTGCAAAATCTCTGCTTGCAGAAATATTTTAAAGACGTTTTTGTAGCGTAAGCCAAGTAGTTTTAGCCCGTTCTATTTATAAATCTTTCATAAAGAATTCATTGTTTCCAAGCCAGGCCTTTATGCTTAAATTAAGCATTAATTATTTTAAGCGAAACCTATTTTTAAAAGCTTTGTCTAATCTAGAATGAATTTATTTTTAAAACAATTGGAATTATTTTCAAGAAGGGTTCTTTATAAAGTGATTTCTCGCTACAGAAACAATTGAAAAAATTGTGAGAATTTATCACTGTCCAAGATAGAAGAACACGGCGATATCTTCCAAATTATTTTTTTTTATTCACAATCCTTTAAATATGTTATGGATGTCAATTTGTTTAAGTTATCTAACGACGTTCCTAGATTTTAAAAGTAGAATTTTGATTAACGGTATTTAAAGGACACAAGTGACACAAGTTTATTAAATATAAAAAATGAATTTTTATCTAGGAAAACTAAAATTAAACCTTATTTTTCATAGTAGGGAAAAATATGAATTTTTTCCACTTTTTTATCAAATATATTTAATCTTGAAACTTATATATTAGTGTACAACAGTGAAAAAATGAAATATGATTTTTTCGGTTTCCTCTTAGATTTTTCCTGATATGAGAATAATTTCTACAAACATTATGTAAATTTTAATTTATCTTGAAGATATCTTGATTTACAAATTCGCAAGTATATATCATTTTCAAATCACTACAATTATTAAAATAATTTTAAAAGTTGTGTCTTTCATTTCTTTAAAATTTGAATTTCAGAAAAATTCTAAATTAACCTAAGAAGAGTAGCCCAAGACCAGAAAACTCGTTAAAACTTGAAAAAAAGATAAAAAGCATTTTCAGCCATAACTTAAAAATAAATTTCATTTTTTGGTCTCTGTAGTAGAAATAAGAAATAAAAACGGTAAACTAGAATCTAGATATATTCAAACCAAAACAAAATACGAATTTATAAAAGAAAAGTTCCGATACGAAACATTTTTTTGCATATTTTGATTTTGACTGTATCCATAAGTACACAGTACAATTGGCTCCGTATCTGCGAATGAACTGGAAAAGAGTACAGCGGACCCTGTATTCTGTATTCTACGATATAGGATCCCAGCCTCCATATCTTAACCATATCCTCAATATCCTCCTACATCCAAATATATATATATATATGTATGACATCCAAAGATATATAAATTTATGACATCCAAATATATGACTTTGCATACGTATGACTTTGCAGATTTAGTCGTCCTTCTTTCGGAAATTTTTGGTTCCTTGTGGCCAATAACTGATTTTTTCCAGATAATTCAATAAGCCATTAAAAGGCTAAATTTAAGGCAGAAACCCTGAGTAAGTCTTTAGATCGTTATATTTACAGAACTTAAGGTCGTCATTCAATTCTTATATTTTGTGGGTAACCTGTATATAATGCATAGATACGAGATTATCCACAAAGGATAAACCTTTAGAGATGACTGCGTGGTTTTTTTCTTTCATTTCTCTAGTTTCTTTCTTTGACAAATCTTTTAAAATATCATTAAACAAAAAAAAGGGGGGGACATTGGTACATAAAAGATGTTGGAATTAGCTAAATTAAAAAAAGCGGCTATACAAAAAAGACTTACTCTAGTTTTTATTTGTCCGTCAACAAAAAATATGTTTCTCTAAGTTTATGTTGAACAAAATCGTTTTCTTCAACGAATCAGAAACGATCAGCAGTGAAAATCGCGAACTATTTTTTCATTAGTGCATTTAAATACATAGTTTTGAAAGGGAGGTATTCTTTGGTTTTTTAAGGAAATTGTTGCTTCTGATACTCTATAGACTCTATAAAAACACAGCTTTATCCCACACTGGAACTTAACTGTGAATGGTTACCCACAAAGATCGAGAATTTCCTCGGTTTTTTCGTTTCTCTTTAATTTTCTTTGCTATTATTTTGATGTTACCAGGCCTGGGCCTTTTTTTTCTTTTCAAAGAAGGACGCACACACGGGAATTCTACTTCTACTCTACCTCAGAGTCAGGACTCCCCTTTATACAGTTTCAAGCTTTTCCTGATTTTATATTCTTCCCTCCGGCGGGGTCAGGGGCACAGTGACTCAAAGGTTGAAAGCTCTCACGCAAAAATCAACTTTACCAATTATTTCTTCCTGGCTAATGCTTTACAGTGTATAGGTCGAGAACTACAAAAAAGAATAACTAAGATATAGTGACGGTAAATCAAAGACCACTGCGTTTCGACGTTTAAAAGTCGATCCAGTCCTGAAAATTCATACAACTTTTATTAGCAGTCTGAATCTATGATGGGAAGGGGAGGGGGGGGGTATAGTCTTTGATTTATGAACTAATTATACCCCAAGGGTTCTGTTGCAATAATATCCTGCAGTATACCTGACAGATTAGTCTAAATTGCAAATTTCAGTTCTAAACCTAAAGTACAATGTTGTGGCTCGGGAATCCCGAATCCTTGAGACAAAAATACCAGACAAATGCCGAAAAATTATACTTTAGAACCATTGACATTTATAGAGACAACAGATATGAACTGCAGCGAACATGTTCAGGGTTAGGAACTGTGTGCGCTCTACGGCACTCTTAAAGGGAGTGACTGGCTAGGATGGTAGAGGAACTGAGAGTACAGTATATAAAGAATTCATTCATTTAGTGTCCGAATTTAATGAATTTAAGCCGCCGCGTCTAAATTCCCCCAAAAACCGGTTTCAATTGAGCGCCAGCTTAAATCTTTGAAAGTTTTAAATGACCAACCATATTTAACCCGCGGCTTAAATTTAAGCCGCGACTTAAATTCTTTAAATTCATTAAATATATCCATATATTAAACGTTTGTGCGTTCTATAATCGTTACATAAGATATGTTTACTTGAATTTCATTGCAAAGACATTTGGAGAAATTTGAAGAAAACAAAAAAATGACATCTACAATTAAGGATATAATATTTATAATTAAGAGGGGTGGATGTTGACACTTAAAGTACTAAAGTCACATATTAAAACTTTTTAATGGGTTTATATAAGGAATAATATGACGTAAGTTGAATATTATTTTTATCCGAGTATTTCAAAAATAAATCATCTAAACCAAATTTTTACAAATCTATACAAACGGTGCCCAGATATTTGCGGATGGCTTGAAAAAAATCTTATTATTCTAAACTTCGTGAATTGCACTAATAATCAAATTTTGATTTTTATCATAAAACCAAGATTCTGGAGGTACCCAACCCACACTTCAGAAACTATTATTATAAAAAATCCAAAGTTTACAAATTAAGAGATAATAGAATTTTTTAACTATGAAAATAAGGTAAATATATATTTTTAAAGCGATAAAGCTTTTATTTTGATGAATATGAAATGGGTAATTATACTGATAAAATCCATGACATTAACAAGAAACTGTGATCTGGTAAACACGCTGTGGTTATTCTGGCATAAAGTATGGCCGAAAAAATGCCTAATCTTTGAGCAATAAAATTGGCCTAATTATTTTTCTAATTTAAAAAAAACGACAGGGTAACCCGCAAAAGATTAAACTTTTGAGGCGACAACTTTACGGAATATATCCTGTATGTTTACAGACGACTGTACGGAATATATCCTGTATGTTTACAGACGACTGTACGGAATATATCCTGTATGTTTACCGATGACTGTACGGAATATATCCAGTATGTTTACCGACGACTGTATGGAATATATCCTGTATGTTTACCGAAGACTGTACGGAATATATCCTGTATGTTTACCGACGACTGTACGGAATATATCCTGTATGTTTACCGACGACTGTACGGAATATATCCTGTATGTTTACCGATGACTGTACGGAATATATCCAGTATGTTTACCGACGACTGTATGGAATATATCCTGTATGTTTACCGAAGACTGTACGGAATATATCCTGTATGTTTACCGACGACTGTACGGAATATATCCTGTATGTTTACCGACGACTGTACGGAATATATCCTGTATGTTTACCGATGACTGTACGGAATATATCCAGTATGTTTACCGACGACTGTATGGAATATATCCTGTATGTTTACCGAAGACTGTACGGAATATATCCTGTATGTTTACCGACGACTGTACGGAATATATCCTGTATGTTTACCGACGACTGTACGGAATATATCCTGTATGTTTACCGATGACTGTACGGAATATATCCAGTATGTTTACCGACGACTGTATGGAATATATCCTGTATGTTTACCGAAGACTGTGCGGAATATATCCTGTATGTTTACATATTTTCATGGTTCTTTGGTAAATCAATAAATAAGCCACTGAACGACTTTATTCAAGACAGAAGACTTAATTCAACATAGAAATCATTATATTTATAACGTTTAAGGTCGGTTTTTACATCTCATTCTTTTTGGGTAACTCTGTTCTTACTAAAGAAATAATTAATAAAAAGTTAAAATTGAGAAAACATGAAAACAGAACAATTCTTCTATTTTACAGTTTTGTAAGATTTACAAGACTTTACAAGAGTAATCAATGTTTATCTTGAGAATTATGAGAGGTTTAAATGCGAAAAACTTAGCTGTATATAATATGAGTAGATTTTATATTTAAAAAATGAAACTTTATTAGCTTATTTGTGTTTGTGTATCCACCATCCTTTACACCCTGTATTCTAATTTATCTCTACATTAATCCCTCTGATCTCACCCTGCCACAGATCACCTGACAATCCCTCTGATTCACCCTGCCACAGATCACCTGACAATCCCTCTGATTCACCCTGCCACAGATCACCTGACAATCTCCTACCACCCAATCAACTCCTTAACTACCCCAAAACATAATTTGATGTGTGTAACCTATTCATTATCGTTAACTAACTTAGGGCCAACCGCTCAATACAACCTACCCTGGTTAGGCGGGTCCAAACTGCATGGTAAAGTGTGATTGCTTATTTGTAATATCTCATGCTTTGTAGTTGAATAAAAATATGAAAATATGGAATGAGACACTTCTAAATCACTTAATTGGTGATTTAGAAGTGTGTAGTTAAATATTTAACAATGATTTAGTTTGTTTCAAAGGAGCCAAAGCTTGTAAAATGTTAAAATCATGGCTATTGACATTTACTACAATACAGAGTGTCCCAATAAACATGGGAAATAAATGACGACGTCCAAGTGGTCGTTAACAGAATTTTTCCGGGTTATAGAGTCTCCTATGCACAGGTTTGCCTTAGTTATTGGGTTGTTTTTTAAATAAAATTAATCAGTTATCATTTTGATATCTAGGGCAATAAAAAAAAGATAACTCATAATTATGTTTTCATCGTTCAATAATGTTACGTAGAAACATTTATTCAATGGCCATGTTTTTAAAAATGCCATTTCTCAGGAACAATTATACAAGTGTATGTACACATTATACAAGTGAAGTTAGCTTCATAAAACAAGTACGGTAAATTTATCATGTATTTTCATTGAAAATTATTTTACAATAGGAAAATGCATAAACAAATAAATAAATAAATAAATAAGAAAGAAAAGTATCGGTATGCATATCCAGTTCATTTGGGGGCTGTTGACTGTATTCTCTATTTTCCGTATCCACGGCCTCCTCCTCCACCTCCGTGGCCACCTCCGCCACCTCCTCCGCCTCGGCCTGCCACCTCACAGATTCTGCGTTTCCGTGCTCTTTGTACTTGTCTTGGAACCTGGATGGGAACCTGCTGACAGGATTCTCGTGGAACCTGGTTGCACTGCTGCTGGGGCACCTAAATATAACCACGTGTTAGCAATGTCGCATAAATTTTTTTATAAGATGACATACCTGGCTGCATTGTTGCCTGGGAACACTTCGGGAAACATTTTCACACTTTTGTCTTGGTTTTTGTACTGCTACTTGCTTAGGAACCTGTTGGCAGCTCTCACGGGGTACCTGGGAGCAAGATTGGCCACCACCACCTCCGTATCCTCCTCCGCCTCCGCCACCGCTGCTGAAACTGCCTCCTCCGCCACCACCGCTGCTATATCCGCCACCGCCGCCTCCTCCTCCACTTCCAAAGGAAGAAGGACTGCTGTAACCACTGCTTACTGGGGCTGAGGACGGACTTCCATAGCTATCTCCAGATGAACCACCGAATGAGGAAGAACCGCCGAAGGATGAACCACCAGATGAGGGAGAACCATAACTAGAACTGGCTGAGGACGGAGAGCTGTATCCTGATGATATGGGAGCAAATCCTCCACCGGAGGGAGCTCCATATTCGCTTTGTCTTTTACGTCTTCCATAGGATGGGAGGGAAGCACCGCCACCTCCACCTCCATAACCGCCACCACCACCACCTCCACCGCTGCAAACTGTTTCGTAAGTTGTGGAGCAAGCACTCTCATATTTGGTTTCATATGAGGTTTCTTGCACCGTCGTACACTGCTGTTCACTTACGGACTCATAGGTAGTAGCGCATTTAGATTCATACTGGGTCTGGCAAACCTCCTAGACCAGACACAAAAACATGCATTAGTTTAATGTCGCATTTTTTTAAAGGACATTATTCCAAGAAAGAAATAAAAAATGTATGATTAATAATTTCTTGTTGGAAATTTCTTTTTATAAAAACAAAAATTCTAAAGCTCTAAAATTTGATCCATCAGAAAATTCTTTATTTTTTTTCTTTCAGGGATGTAAATAGAGAGGAATTAATTCTGCAAAGTGAGCTTTTTTCCCTCTCTTTATCATATCTCCACATCATAAGAGAATAACTTCTTTTTTTTAAATGACGAATATTTTGATTGAAATATCTTATAAAAAATGTTTAGCGTTACTCCTTTCCACAGCTGTGCTAAAGCTGTGTACTGTGAACAGCATATGAAAATAGGAAATTTCAACAATGCATGTGTTTCCTCCCTCGTACTGTGTACTGCACTGCTCTGTGTACGCAGTATCATACTCAGTCTCAGTAACATACTCTGTACCATAGAAGCACTTGGGGCCAGTATTTTCATTCCCTCCTCCGAAGAAGAGAGGTTCAGCTACCCCTACTCCTACTAGGAGCGAGACAAGGAGAAGATGCATTGTCCTTAAATAACAAATATTTATGAAGATTTAAATTCAAAACAATATTTGAAAGTTAATGAAAAGTGGAATATATGTTAAGAGAAGAAAATATAAAATCATATTTTGAACAATTTATTAGAAACCTCAATTGACCATGTCAATTCAAAAAAAAATTATTTCAAAAATTGGCAAAGCCAAAAATTACCATTTCAATAAAAAAAATTAAGATAAACTTAAACTAAAGTAATAATCTAAAAATACTGAATTGGATCAAATAAAATTGAATGATTGAACAAAAATTAAAATGGAAGAATTATAAATTTGTCATCATTACCAGTCGTTTTAGGAAGGTTTTGTATATCTGGATAAATGATTAGATGATTTTCATCCCTCTTTTATCCAACCTTATTCACGAACCTGGAAAAATTAAATTTAAAAAATGCTCGACTTATTATTAAGAAGTAATCCCCCATAAAATACTCTCTCTCTGAAGTAATATAATAGTATAAAAAATTGGACCAGTGCCCTTGGACAAACTAGATGGAGACGATCAAATTTGTGCCACATTAATGGTACGACTTGGTGACCTCGTGCAGTAATAACCAGAAAAAATAGGAAGACGACATTAAATCAATACTGTAGTGCATTTTAATGTTGTTATAAAGCAAATAGCTTTACTAATTATTTATTAAATCATTTATTAAGTGAAAAGGGTCTGTTTACACTGCACAATTGCTGTGTCTCATGTTCAATTGCCTATTCAAAGTCATAAGTTAAGTTTAAAAGTCGACTTCCTATTCCAGAGTTTTCTGGTTATTACTGCATGCTCTCCACGTTTTGATTTTACGGAAAAGTATGAGAACAGAAATTTTGTTTGGTTAAATACTAGAAATTATAAAAAAGAAATTATTTTTTTCCAATAGCTCATAAACTGCAGGAGTAATGATTGAAAACATGTAAGATTTCAATTTTATGTGAAATCTATTTAAATTCTATAATAGTTTGAACGTTCTAAAGCAGTAAACTAAAGGAAAGGTTTATTTCTGAAATTTAAATCTGAAATTAAAGAGAAAAGAAAAATAATCAACTTATAAAATTTTAAAAGCATAAGCGCAGCGTGGATCGAAGTTTTGAACAAATTTGAAATTTGAAATTTCCAAAGTTTAAGATATTAAATATAATATATTTATGATATTTATATTTAGGTATTCATAATAAATTTATATATACGTATTATGAATAATAATACATAAAAGTTAAAGTTTATGCATTCAGGAGACATGGAAATATAAAATATGAAAAAGATTGATTTTATATGTACAATGGAGAACGTGAAAAATGGAGATTTGAGAATGTTAAGAATTAAGAATTTAAAATTAAGATTACCAAAAATCAAGTATATAAAATGAAGTATATCTTTTAAATAAATTAAATGTATCTTAAATGGATCATAAATAAAATTTGGTTTTAATAAAATGAATGTCTAAAATGAAAGTATAGAAAACGAGGAAATTATTGAAATATGAAGTAGGTGTGTGAAAAATGAAGATCATGTAAGATTGAGCCTATAAAAATATATATATGGTAGTAAACTATATAAATGTGAAACACGTTTTTTGACAAAATTTAGAATACACATAATATACAATATACAAAATAGAGCATATGTATAATGGCGGTGATAAAACTGGGTAATTTATGGAATAAAAGACAAAAAAATAGAAAATATTCAAAATGGAGGATAAGAAATGGAAAATATACAAAATGGAGGATAAAGAAATGGAAAATATACAAAATGGAGGATAAATAAATGCAGAATATACTAAATTTAGGATAAGAAATGGAAAATATACAAAATGGAGGATAAAGCAAATGAAATATATGCAAAATGGGCGATTTAAAATTGAGGATACACAAAAAGAAGGATTTATAAAATGGAGGATACCAAAAATAGAGAATATGCAAATTGGGGGATATACAAAATGGAGGATAATCAGAAAGGAGAATATATAACGGGCAGAATAAAAAAATGGAGGATAAAACGTCCAAGTGTACAGACTGTAGTCCGTGATAATAATAAATTAGCCTATTATTCTCAATGTAACTGTACGAATAATCATTTAAAAACAGCTTATTTTTTAACATTTACAAATGTTCTGCCTGATTTTTTACAAAATTCTAAAGCATTCCCATCAGACTTTAATTTGGCAGATTTCTGTCCCATGTTTCCGTAGAGAGGATTTGATTAAATATCAATTATTTAAAAAATAAACCAGATTTCTCCGACATTTTGCACAACTATAAACTTGATTAAACTGCATGTAAGTCGTTCCAGTGATGTCGAATACATGTTATCTTCCCCTGAACACCTAGACATTTCATTTATTTATTTATTTTTATTTATTTTTATTTAACTACAAAGCACGAGATGATACAAATAAATAATCTCAAATATACTACAGTGGTAAGCGATTATATCACTACAATAAAGACGACTTTTTATTTAAGTTTTTATTGTTTACAAGCTTTTCTGGAATCACAAGTTTACAAATAATCAAAGAGAAGCTTAATCTACAGCTTTTCTTTGTACATTTTAAACAAAATCTTTCATAGTTCGAAATTAAAAACCAGGGCAACATTGTGGTCTCTGAACTCCTCTCCAGTTTACATTTTAAATCCAAGATGCAAGATAATTTGCTTGGAATTAATTTGGTTTAAAAATAAATGTGAAAACCAAAAATATTTCCAAAATCCCGGCTGATGTTTTCTTTCTAACATAAACATACAATTAGATTAAGATGAATTTAATTATTAGACCTTTGAGCAATTATTTTGCACAAGTATACACTCATATCTTGCAAAATATCGCAATCTATTTCATCTTGGGACACTGCACAGTCATGTTGGCTTGCAAATTTAATTCCTACGTTTATATCATTAGATCTATCAGGTACAAATTATAATATCACAGTTTTTGTAATTATGATAAAAGTATAAAAAGAAGGGGATAATGTAATTTTGATTCTGAGGAGTACGTTACGTTCCTTGTAATTAGGGTTACCCACAAGGAATGATATTTCTGGTGCCCTGAAAATGTAAACTTGTTTCGGACTTTGCCAAATCAACCATAAGCTTTTAAACAAGTTATGTAGACTTAATTTAACATCGTAATCAGCATATTTAAAAAGTTCTACAGGTCGGCTTTAAAGTTTCTTCCTTTGCTGTATGTTGTCTTTAAACATCCTTAAAAAATTTTGCCCCTGACCTCAAAAAATTTTACCTAGTAAAAAAAAACTTCATTCAAACAATCATTATCTATGAATAATGATTTATTCTATAATCAAATTTCATTATATTGAAGGCGAAGCCGAATAAATAGTCGACAGAAGAAATCAAAAGATACAAAAATAAGCAGAATAAGAAATTATGTTTGGTTCAACAGAGTTCTTAATTTTGATAGTGATGAGATATCCTTGTGTTTCTGTCTGAAAATTAAAAATCGTAGGTCACGGTTTTCCAGACACACTAGACAGAAGAAGAAGGTTATATTTGAAATTTGAAACAAATTTGTTCTTCTCAAAAGCTTGATACTATTAGATTTCAATCCTAGGTCTCTTTAATCTGTACCTACTCGTCCCTTTAAGCTGTATCTACTTGTCTCTTTAATCTGTACCTACTCGTCTCTTTAATCTGTACCTACTCGTCTCTTTAATCTGTACCTACTTGTCTCTTTAATCTGAACCTACTCGTCCCTTTAATCTGTATATACTCGTCCCTTTAATCTGTACCTACTCGTCTCTTTAATCTGTACCTACTCGTCCCTTTAATCTGTATCTACTCGTCTCTTTAATCTGTACCTACTCATCTCTTTAATCTGTATATACTCGTCTCTTTAATCTGTACCTACTCGTCTCTTTAATCTGTACCTACTCGTCCCTTTAATCTTTTTTTACTCGTCACTTTAATCTGTACCTACTTGTCTCTTTAAGCTGTATCTACTCGTCCTTTTAATCTGTACACACTGGTCTCTTTTATCTGTACCTTATCGTCTCTTTAATCTGTACCTACTCTTCCCTTTAATCTGTTCCTACTCGTCCCTTTAATCTGTACCTACTCGTCCCTTTAATCTGTGAATATGCGTCTCTATACCTACTCGTCCCATTATAATCTGAACCTACTCGTCCTTATAGTCTGTACCTACCTGTCTTTTTAATCCGTACCTTCTTGTTCCATAAACCTGTACCTACTCGTCCTTATAGTCTGTTTCTACTTGTTCATTAAACTTGTACTACTATCCCCTTTAATATGTACCTACTCGACCCAATAATTTGTACCTATTCGTCCCTTTAATCTGTAACTACTCGTTCCTTTAATTTGAACCTAATCGTCCCTGTCATCTTTACCTATTCGTTAATCTGTGCCTACTCTTCCCTATAATCTGTACCTTCTCCTCCTTATAATCTGTACCTTCTCCTCCTTATAATCTGTACCTACTCGTCCCTTAAATCTGTACCTTCTCCTCCTTATAATCTGTACCTTTTCCTCCTTATAATCTGTACCTTCTCCTCCTTATAATCTGTACCTACTCGTCCCTTAAATCTGTACCTACTTGTCACGTTGTGACGTTATATAATCTCCGGTTAGGTTTGAAACGTTCTTATCTATATTTTAAGACTCATCGGACACAGCGGGTTTAAATACTTTTCTTCAAAATACTGTAAATAAAATGTTCTCCTCGTCGACTAGTATTTTCAATAGATAATATTAACGAACCAAAAGATATAAAACTCTTGCATTACGAATGAACATGCTAATTGTTACTAAGTGTTTTGCATTAAATTATACTTTTATAATTTAACTCTTTATTTTTCATTTCATTGAAGAGAGAGAACCTCGGGAGAAACATGAAATAAAATTATGTTTATGCATACTGTGAATTATTATGTTTAGGTGACCGGTGCAGTGGCTAGAAAATTATTGTGATATTTATGTCCCTCTTCCATTTAATAATTCAACTTGTTCCAAAACAAATTAAAAACCCTTCATTTCTAAATCAAAATTGTTATAAAATACAAAATGTAGAATTCATTACCGAAAAAATATCTGTAACCTGAAACCCATGCTGAAAGTTTTTTTTTGTACTTATTTTCTACAGAAAATGCAATGTCCAATCACAAACTTTCTTCTCATTAAAAAATATGAATGTTTTATATTTAACATTCTTTGCAATTCTTTGGATCAAGAAATAAAGAGAGTGGCCCCAAATGTTGATTCCAGGGGAAGGAGAAAGATGACTAGATACAAAAACTAGGATATAGAAAGAGAAAGAATTAAAAGATCTTCGAATCTTGAATAAATTTTAGGTAGAAGATCAGGCATTTTTTGTATAATGCCTTGATCCCCATGAACAACCATTTTTTCAA